CCGAGTGTTGTTACAGTTACTTGTTACATTAGGGAGATAAGCCGGGGGAGGACAAATGTGAATCATGCGCATTCGTGAATTATTTTTGTGCTATTATTCCTGAATTGCTTTATTCGGTAGATCAAATGTGTGATTGGTTTTTTCAAAATACAAACACGAAATCGAACAATTGATCAGTGGAATTCAGAGTTATAAGTATCGAGTGGTAAAATGTGACTCTTCTTTCCGTGAATTTCTGTTAGATTTTACAAGACCGACGAACTCGGATGTTGACATTTCCAGAATTAATTTAATCTGTTGATGTATTTATGTCCTTTTTTTAAACAGTAAATTGGTTATATGCTTTGGGGTCATAAGCAGGGTGTGTATTAATGCGTTTTCGTGAAATTTACTTGCACTATTATTCCAGCAGTGATTTATTCGCTAAATGGCGTTTTCTTTTTAAAATACAAACACTAAATCATTGAATACAGATTTAGGAAAGTAGGGAGAGGCTAGATGTCCTGCGTCTTCGTGAATGTTGCATGTCTTAAAAGTGTTATTCCCACAATCGCTATAGTCGGTACTTGCAATTAACTTTTAAAAATATAAACTTTAACTGAAGCAGTTTTTTTTTAAACTTTTCGAAAGATCGGCACATGTGAAACAGCACGAGATATGATTTTTTAAGAGGGTTCACAACAGTAGAGGTCATGTCACCCTCGGGGTGTCTGTGTTTTTGAAAAAAAAAGCCTATTTGTAAGTATGTCGGGTTGAATGCAGGGCCACTGGATTCGAACCCGGACATTTATTTTACAGTGATGAGCGCCATGTCAACGCCTAAACCGTAACAGCCACAGATATAGTTTTACATAAATTTTAGGGATATAATCAGGGAGAAGCAAGATGTGACTCCTGCGTTTTAGTGAACTGTGCTAAAACTAAATTATTTCCAGAATTGCTTTGTTCAGCAATTGTTTTTTTTTTGCAATTCAAAGACGAAATCTATCTTTTGAATATAAACTTTAAGGATATAAACAGGGAGAGGCAAATTTTGGTTCAGTAGATTAATGTAATATAATTAATTTTAATGGCTATGAAAATGCTATACAGGTACAGAAAAATACAATTATCTCCATTTTGCTGTATAATTAATACTAAACATTTACTGACATTTTCCAAGTGTGGATTGGTGTTCGAAAAAGACGTTCGGGGCGTACACAATGCTTCGCAGTTCTTTCAGTCTCCTAGGGGCTCACCTTCGCTCCCGGCGATTTTTATTGTATCTTTATGACCGTGCCGGTGCCAGATCAATCCGTTCCTCGAAACGCAATTCCAGGTCCCATTACCGCAAGGGTAAAACGAAGAGTCGACCATGGGCAGGGCTGGGAGAATGAAACTCGAAAGCAAAAAGATTCCGGGGATCCCTGGCGCTAATCAACCCGGGGGCGCCACTATAACCATTATTTCCCGTCCTCGTTTTATCCGATGCTTCGTGAGAGATACGACTTAATAAAATAATTTTGGTATTATTAATTTTTTGAGATTTCCAGAGTCTGCAAAGCGATAAATCATGTGATGATCATTTTGGTCTGTTTTGCATGCTTCAATGATGAAAAACTGACAAGAACAGGAAAACAGCCTGTAAAGATAGAACCAAATGATCGAAAATGACCAAGCTATATTTTAATTAATTAAATTAAAAATATGAATCTTATTTTTTACTTTCAATCTATCATATTCTTTTCTAATTTACATTGCCTTTTTTATAATTTTACAGTCTCTTAAAGCTTTCCACCTAAGCATGTTAATGTATTAATTCTGTTATTGAAATTCTAAGGAGGTCTCTGAGCAAATCGAACATAACATGATCATAAACATTTCGAAATATCGTTTAGGTCAGAAAATTTTTCGAAAAATCTGTGTGAATCATCTGCTGAGAAGAGTTGCAATTTGCCACATGGTGCCCTTTTTAATTGGAATTGATTGTGCCATTTGTCATTGAAATGATGTCATTAAATCTCACAGAGGTATTGTTCGCTATCAAGGTATCGGGATATTTTACAAACAAATCTGCGTTGGTGCTTTATATATGCGATTTCAACCTATCTGTTCTATTTTTAAGTCAAGGTTTGAATAAGGTTGATCTGAGTAAATGTTATTTCAGACTGCTTCAAGCACGAAGTCGGTTTCTTAATCTCTCCACAGCGGTTTTCCCTTGTGCAATACCGGGCCTTTTACTTTATCAAATATGTGTACAAACTGGTGACATTTTCATCGACCTGGGAGGGGGTTAGGCAAATAAGTATAATTAAAAAATAAAACAGGGCCTATGTAAAACTTTCAAATTGAAAAAGAAAATGAAGAGACCCTTTAACGACCGCGTGATGGCATCTCGGTAATGAAGCGGCCAAGGCCGTCGAAAAGCGGCCAAGAGGAAGAAAGTGACATGGAGTCATTACCAGGAACCGAAGAGCGTAATGAAATTCGGTCTGGACAACATGGCCGCAACGGCTCCAGGAGGAGGCGAGAAACGTGATTTTTTTGGTTATTTTCTCTGAAAAAGATAAATGGACCATTTAGCAACCGCCGCCGCAAAACCAGTCCAGATGGATCGATAGAAAAAGAAGGAAAAAAACAACAACAACCACGGAGTAATGGGCCGTAAAATAAAAATCGAATATTCGAAAAATGGAGGTGAACTCATAACAAGGTAACGAGATTGCGGAGATAGAAATTTAAGCACGAATAAGGCTCAACTGCATCATTAGATCTTGTCACTTGGAGAGTAATTTATATAAATTTATCTTAAAACAGTGAAAAAACAATATCATAATGATAAAAATCGCACAAGATAAATAATTGAACAGACGAGTATAGTTTTTGACTTTACTCCTTTTGACTTTCCCCTAGTTTATTCCAAATATTTCATTACATTCCTGGAAAATTGGACAAATTTGTCTCATACAAAGAAAAATCTAAAGATAAAAATGCAAAGCCATAACTTTTTAAACGTTTCTTGGATAGAATAAGCCATAGATTACTTTACATCAAAATTCAGCTCATGTTATGTTGGGTTTAACATTCTACTGTTTATGTAATGACCATTATTTGTCTACTAAACCATTATTCATTTAAATGTGCAACACTGTACGAAAAGAATGACACGTAAACGGACTTAATCGGCCGCAACTCCGACTAAGAACGTTCAAATGACCAATTGAAATTCATTACTTTAAACAAGAGAGTCACGATTTTAAAGTTGAAACGAGCTTTGCATGACGTTTCTTACCCTGATGTACATCCATTTACAGCAAAGTTATTTAAAATAATCTCAATCTGGTGTATGTTTTACTGGCGTTTTATCCTGTTGCAAAGGAAACGATACACAGTGGTACTGAGGCAGCAAAAAACACTTTTTTTAAATGTTTTATTTTAGATTCACTAAAATCGCCGAGAATCCAATCCGATTACACGACATTTGAAAAATGGCAAAAAGGAGGGAAAATTCAAAAAGGTGGGGTTGAGATGGGAAGTTGGTATCCGAGTGGATCGAGGTCACGATAGCTCAAGTGGTAGAGCAGCGGCGTATCTAGCCAAAGATCGTTGGTTCGAATCCCGCTCGTGCCATTGACTTTTTTATCTCAACTTGTTTTATTTTAGTTTTCAAGGTTAGAATTTTATGATTTGTAACATTGCATTTGAATGTCGTTTTTTCATGGATATAATTTTTGTACGACTTAAGCCAAAACAAGCCCAAAATATGAAGTTTGTTGTGTAAATTTTTATGTTGTTTATAAATTATCTAAACCCAAATTACTGTATAATAGTTTTATAACACACTGCATATAACCAAATAGTAAGAATCCTAAAATAAACGTAAATGAATTCAAAGTTTTTCTGGATCTGCATGGATTTAAAAAAACGCTCCACAGAGCTTCAAGATAAGACCGATTATTTGTTTAAGCTTTAACCTTTCCCCACCTAATTTATGAATATAATCTTTCACCAACTTTTCCAAAAATGTAACAAAAAATAAAACTTTTCGACTAGTGTATTCTTAACATCTTAATTAATGCAGCTAATTGTATTACTCTGCTCCAACATGTCTTTTGAGGTTAAAATTTTCTGCAGTTTGTTATCTGGGATTGAGTAATAAATCTGCAAACTTCGAAGCTTCTAGAGTAAATAGATCTATAATTCCGATAACCTCAAAACCTTGTCAGGTCAACCAAAAGTGTTGTAACTCAGGATTTTTCCTTGGCGGGAAGGATACCGAGTTGCTAGATCTTTTATTCTGTTATAAATATTGAAATGATTATGAGACTTTCAGTTGATTCTTTATTCTTCATAATTGTTTAAATGTTAGCATGATTTAAATGAACTGATTTGAGGACAAATTTCATTATTTAAGACACTTTCCGAGCACTGTGCGACGCCAGGTAGAAAAAAATTGATAAAATGAAGTACCAAATGTATATTAAGCATGTTTGTATTCAGTTCAGAAATAGCAGGACCTGGTTTTATTAATATTTTTCTTGGTTAGCCGAACATAATGAACTTAGTCTACAACATGAAAAATTAGCGATCACCTCAGTTACAACACAAACAATTATTATTGACTATTCTGCCCCTAATGTCGCAAAACAGATGCATGTTGGTCAACCAAGCTTAGAGAAAAATATATTTTTTTAGCATTTGTTGTTGATTATAGAACGAATATGCATAAATGCGTGGAATTTTTTTTTTTAGGTGCGTTAATTAGACCTTGATTGTGAGACTTAGATGGGGTTCTTTAGTATCATGGTAATTTCCGTGGGAATGAATAAAGGTTAATAATGTTTATATAACAAATAATTACGAATAAATGAGGTTATGTTAAAGAACTACCGCGCGTTTGAAACAAGTCAACCAACTGTGATTATTAACGTTGCAAAGATGGTCAAATGTGTTCCCAAGTTTTAAAAGTGATCCCCGAAGATCATGGGATATTTTTAAGTGAGGTACAAAGCTGTACTGACCATTATTTCTTGTTCGGTGGGCCAAGTGTCCGTCGCACATGCTTTGACTGTTGTGTTGAGCTCAGGTACCTGGAACAGAGAGGAAGAGAGTCAGCAGACGGCCATTAGTCAGTTGGAGTTATTACAAAGTAAACTGTCAGAGTCTAACAAGGATCGGTAGCCGGCCTACAAATGAACGGGGAAGCTAATGAGTTGGATATTTACATGTTAGCCCCGGGCCAAGCGACGAGACATCAACGTATTCATGCCATGTTTCGATGTTTCGCGCGAAGGAAATATCCAGATCGCTGCTTTTTATAAATTAGGTATAATCATTACAGGATTTTAGCTAAGATCTAAAAATTAAGTAATAATCTGTATTTCTATATTGAAATTTATTTCCTTTTCATTCATGATCCTGTCTCACAATGAATGTTTTCAGTAATCTATAGGTCACTTCTCATCCTGCATACATTTTTTAACAGTCTTTTTGTTGAAATAAACTCGGAATAGGATTTTCTCAGCTTTCTTTGAATTTACAAGTCTGTGAGCAGTAAGTTCTTCACAAATGTGTATTATTCGGATGGTTCTTCCAGTACCACTCTTAAGGCCAATTTCATATTTCTCTTTCAGTCTTATTACCAGCAGTCTAATTTATTAATCACAGCCGAGTCCCACATTGCACTTGGGGTCTGCGGGAACGCCGACATGTCTGGTAGTTTTCGTTCATTTTAATTTGCCATTTTCGCCGTTTTGGCCATCTTTAGTAAATTTTTTTTTGTTATTCTGCAATCGATAACATCTTTGTTCTGTCTAATCTAATACATCTGAAGCTCTCAGAATAGCGAAGGAAAGTGCATTGTTTTTTCATAGACTTAAAGGCAGCTTTTGACTCAGTCATTCATCCTTATTTCTAAAGCTCATGGGTATATCGTCTAAGTTTGTGGGTATACTTAAATGCTTTTATACCTCGGGAGCCTCAGCGGTTCGAACCTCAGAAGGAATTTCTAAATACAGTAGGAACTGGAGTAAGACAAGGGTGTGTGCTTAGCCCCATGTTATTTGCCCTTTTTGTAAACGATATTGTTAACCTACTAGAAGGAGGAATTCTTGTTGGTAATACCAAAATAACAATATTATTATATGCGGATGATATAGTCCTAATTGCTGAGAGTCCGGCTAGTTTGCAAAATAATATTCGAATCTTTGAGTCCTTTTGTGATCTTTGGAACTTATCTGTAAATTTAAAAAAGTCAAAAATTATGATCTTACGCAATGAGGGTAAACCGGCTGGTAAAATGGTTTTATAAGGGTTACAAAATCCAAGTAGTCAATAGGTACAAATACCTGGGTGTTATTTTTACTCCGCGTCTTTCCCTATCTCACCATTTTGAAGCAAGAATTTCGGTTGCAAAAACAGGTTTAAACTGTGTCTGATGAGTGAGATACGAGTGGCTTTCAGATATGCAATAATTGTCGTCCCTGTACAATTATAATAACTTATATATAATATTATAACTTTTACTTTTACTGCTTTGTTTTTTAGTACTCTATCAGTTCTCAAAAGGTAATTTGTTCTTATTTAATTCTTTTTGTTGTCTTCATTTTTCTCATATTTCCATCTATTATGATTCATACACCTGCTATATGTTAATTTTCTCTTCGAATTTTTTTGTTTTAATATTTCTGTATTTGTAAGCTTTTAAGCAGCAAACTCAGCAGACGGCAATTAGCATGCTTATTATACTTTGTATCAGTATTTCTATTTTTTTTTTATCAATTCTAATAAAGTATTGTGTATTGTATTGTAGTAAATTTTTTGTGAGACCGACCAATCACTGAGGCTGATGAGAACAGAAACGCGTCTGACAAATCAAAAGTGAACAGAAACGGCCAAACTATGTCGGCTTTCATTATGAGATTTTTTCTTGTGGTCTGCAGGGAGAGAAACTGAATACTGGCATATCCGTTCGTTTAGTTCATTTTTATTTGGCAACCTTCGCTGTTTTTGCCTGTCCATATTTTATTTTTTCCGAATTTGAAAAGTTGAAACGCGTCGGACAAGCCAAAATGATCAGAAATACCAAACTGCATGTCACCTTCATCCAATCCACAATTTTGTTATAACTAGCATTCTGGGTATATAATAATGAACCAAATTCACATGTTTGATTGTCCCTAATCATAATGATAACGATAATATATTTTTACAATTTTGCTATACTCTCAAACTGCTTTCAAAAATTCAGGTACTGATACACATCAAGAGCATAATTTTATGACCATTTAACCACCATGAAAACTTTGAAACATGATACAAGGTCATTCATCAAACAATTAGGATGTGACAAATAAAAAGCCCTGTTAAAGAAGATTTACTTGAAAGTCAACAAAAACAATCCTGTCTATATTAATGCCCAAATATTTCAAAATTATGAAGTTTACATAAAAAATGAGTATAATGTATACAATATATACACACGCAAACGACAGCCAAGACTTAAGAAATTTGAGATTCTTCAGTACAAACTGTCTTATTTAAACAATTACTACAATACTTACAAAAAAGAAGTACTTGATGTTTTTCCAAAAAGTAAAAATTCTTTCTGGAGCAATAAGATTTTTGAACTTGTACGTCTTTAAGATCCTAAAAGTTTACATCCAAATGACCGCAGTGAGTTTATAACGTATAAGTTTTAGTCGGCTTTCAAGTTGTTTCTTTTAACAGAGCTTTTTATTTGTCAAATCCTAATTGTTTGTTGAATGACATTGTATCATGTTTCAAAGTTTTCATGGTGGTTTAATGGTCATAAAATTATGCTCTTGATGTGTATGAAATAATAAATGGGCTAGTCTTTCGTAATATTGAGCGAATAGGTCAATAAAACAGCAATTTTAGTTTAATTGTCTTTGATTAAACTTTAGACAAGTTTATTAATAATTCGTGGGATGGTCTGCTCAGTTTTTGCAGGTTAATTCACACTCTTTTTAAGTTCAATTGGTTCTGTTGAAAAAATTGAAACGTTTGAACAGTTAAAACTGCGGTTCAAATCACCTGCCAAAACATACCGCATCGACCGTTTCCAAACGGCGTAGTAGCAGATGATTTGTCTCGCAATTACACTGTCAATCTTTCTCGAAAAGTTTATCGTGATGGTCGAGGGCGAAGCGGGAGCAGGATCGAAACGGGTTGCCCTTTCGTGAACCTCTCTCCGGTCTTCTCTCTCGAAATGGTGGAAAAAGCGATTTTGTGTAATTTCCGAGGGCGATTTTGTAGTGATTTCCTAAACCGAAACGGAATTCACATGAGCTTCACCTATTCGGGATTCACTGGGATTATTCATCTTCCCCTCTGGGCCTACTCGGAAGCCCGATCCGACAAAAAGAAACCGAGTTTAAACTGTTCGGCGCAAGGAATTTTCGCCCTACTTAAAAACAAACATGAATAAAACATGCCATGATGCCACTGATTTACATAAAATTACCTGTTTTCTCCCAAATGCCATTCTCCGGCCTCCTCTTATTTACACACATACACACGGGGGTCCTCCCGTTGTGAAAATAAAACTGGGGGGGAAATCGTACAAATGGCAACGTTTACGACATTGACGCCTGGAGAAATCATTCAAAAGAGATGATAAGCTCTAGTTTGTACTCCCTTAAAGTTAAAAAATACTTTTAAAGTAAAGAAAAAACACATTAAGTACAAAAAGAAAATTGCATCTTTTTTTACATCCCCCATTGTAAATGCATCTATATCACGAGAAAAGCTGAAAATCAAGACGCAGAGAAAATATACTGCAATTATTATTTTTTATAAAAATACTTCTCTATGATGACTCAAAAATAAAGCATAAGCAATCTTTGAGAAAAGAACTTTGATGATTTCTGCTAAGTAAGCTTTAAAGCTGATAAGTGTTTGGGAAAAAATTTGATGGTTAATTAAAATCGCTCTTCATATATTACATATTCAGCAAGTTATAATGGGTGATTTTTTTCAAATAAATATTTATTTCTTTTATACAAACTCTTCCACCAATTTGGTTTTCTTAAGATAGCTTGCGGACCAAAATTACTCGATTTGGAGTAATGTCAAGGACTCCCACAAACTACAAAAGCCTGATAAAATGTTTATGCATTCCCATATTTTTCACAAGTTAATTACTGTTCAGTAAATGGTAAAAACATCGTTTATTACATTAATTTAATTTGCCTGATACTGCGAGCTTTATACAGACAAAAATTAGATCGTGTAATTTTTATGATATTCAGTCGTTGCCTAATCTAAACCAGAAATTTAAAGTAAACATGTTACATATTAGCATATTTTTCATAAGTTAATTACTGTTCATTAAATGGTATAAACATCGTTGATTACATTAATTTTATTTGCCTGGACATACAGATCTTTATACAGACAGAAATTAGATAGCGTAATTTTTATGATATTCAGTCGTTGCCTAAATTAAAAAATCTCTATTTTTTTTAACTTTTAGGTATAGAAATCCTTATCACCAATCTTGATGATTGAATAGCGTTTTAATAGTTTTTAGATAATATAAAATATTTACATATTACCATATTTTCCATTAGTTAATGGTGGTGGCATTACATTGCCTTTATTTGCCTGAGACTACCCATCTTTATGTGCAAAATGTTAGAACAGATTTAAGTGTGATTTGAACTAAGCAGAGAATCTTTATTTTGTCCTTTTTTGTCAAAGAAACGCGTGGATTAGCCGGTTCATCTTGAAAAATGATTAGTGTTTTAGTAGAATTGATTTATAAATTAAAATTGTACATATTACCATATGCAAATCTCATTGTGTAGGTCGCAAAGGTATTGTGAGATTATCTTTTCATTTTTTACACAGGTAAGACCACAGAAGTCGAACAAAGTGAAATGAGATGTTGGTTTTATGATTTTCCGTCAGTGGCATTAAATCCAGGACATTACCACACATACCTTTTTGGTCTTCTAGGCATAAACAATGCGTGAAGAAGTGTTGAATTCTAAGACATTGAGTCCGCAAGTAACCCACGGCTTTATCCGAAACTAGGCATGTAAATGGACACTCGAGTAATTAATCC